GATAAAGCGGACGATTAGGGACCGTAAAACAGGTGTAATCTCTGGAGTTTTCTGCTAAGGGTATTTGCCAAAAGGCACGACGGAAGTCGAGGGAGCTAATAAATTCGGCCTTTGGTATTCTGCTCAAAATACCGTCAATATGAGGAAGGGGGTAAGCGTCCTTTACGGTAACACTATTTATTTTTCTGGAGTCAAGACACAGACGGACTTAAATTGGCTTTTTAACTAAAACAACCGGACTGGACCATGGACTATTTGGAGCCTCCTCGATTACACCTAACTTAATCATTTCATCTATTCCTGCGTGAACTAATTTTTCCATGGCAGGAGAAATTGGAAAGTACCTCTGTTTGATCGGACGAACGTTTGATTCAAGCTCTATTACATACTCCATTAAGGAGGTTTTTCCAAGGCCTTCCTTTTCGAAGCTAGGAAACCTATTCTTTATTAAATCTAACTGGTGCTGTTGCTCACCACTCAAGAGGATACTATTTTCATCCGGTGTAGAATCGAACGAAATTTCTGAAATAACATGTGGTGCGATTTTGAATTTAACCCAAAAATCTACTCCCAGTATAACTTTTTGGGACATACTTGGAATCACAAAAAATGTTATTATCGCGTTCTTGCCTTCAAATTTCACACTTAAGTCGATTGAGCCATACACGATTTGATTCTTACCATCCGCCGTACAAACTGAAGCGGAATGTTTACGTAGTTGTTTCTGCTTACACACATAATCGGCTAACGAGGAACCTAAGCAAGAGACTTGTGCTCCGCTGTCTAGCAAACCCAATTGATCGGAATCTAATATCGTAATTTTAGCGTATGGTCTTAAATCAAAGCTCTTATGTTCAATAGAACCGATAACACTACTTAAGATCTTGCGGTTTGTTTTAACGTTTTGCCAAAACCGTTTACAACGTTCGGACGAGCGGCTAGAAGAAGGGGGTTTACTCACAAGGGAAATTTTCAACGGGATTGTCAGGGTGTATAAGTGGCGTTACGCAATCGCTTTTTGGGGGTGCGTCAGGGCGTATGATGAACTTGCAATCGCTTATGGTTTCAGATCGTCGCGAGGATTATTCCGGGGAACTTCGCTCGCTTTCAAGTTTTCCGGATTGCAGCGGCTGCATTTGGGTCGATAGACCTCCGGAGC